CAAATCTAAAGGGTTTTGGAGTTCCAGTAATTTATAATGGATCACCATTTCGCTATTCTGTCAAGGATTGCCATCTAATACAGGTATAAATGTACATAAATGATCACAAGAAATATTTTTTTGCTCAATTGACTTAACGTCTTTGGATGTACTAAACAATGTCATTTCTATTATTCATAAAATATTCTTTTGTTTTTGTACCACTAACATTGTTTCATTGTAACTCATTATTTTCGATATCAACAGACACATAAATGCAAGCAAAAGATTAATTAAGCATAGACGGACAAACAACGAAGCATGCAACATAGATATCAAATTTAGCCGAATAACAAATAGTGACTTTTAAACAACTTTCATGTTAATAAAATTTTTATTTCTTCAATTCATTTACCGTTTCACCAGGTTGGTTGCTGACGCATTCGACAATTGTTTGTTTAATGTGCTTATAACATTTTATAGTTTGCTTTTAATAATTATACAGGATGTATCATTGAAACATTCTTTATAGAATGATAATTTGTAAGAAATAGGCACTCCATGAGTACGTAAGGATTTGCTTTTTTATGATTGACAATTACAAAATACCAGTATGATTGATATAATTTGACAAAAATGGGTAGGAACTCAAAATGTTGGGTATCAAAACACAACACCATAACAAGGTTTTGCCAACACAACCACTACAACTTTGTTGTTTACATTTTCTATGTTATGTATCTGCATAATGTCAAAAACATCTCGCTATTGTCTGCGTTTCACTAGTCTATCGAACATTGGTGTCTACTATCTAATCTCTGAACAAACAAACGTTTAAATTAATAAAAATTTGGGAATGGTATATAAAGAAGTGGAAATATAAATTACGCTATATCTTAGTAATGAGATGCCCCGATCCTCGTCGAAGACATTTCTCAATACTGCCTTTGAAAACGTTTTAACCTAGGAATTAAAAAGCAAATAATGTTTCATTACCATTATGTTATTTGCTTATATATTTTCAAAATTAGCCTTTTTCCTCATCAGAAAATTTTAAATAATGACAAACATTAATGTCGAAATGTACGTTCAGGCTGTTAACGAATATTCGAGTTCTCGTAAAATACCGCCATTTTTTAGGTGCTTTTTATGTAATTAAGTTTACTATTTATCTTAGGCCTGTTTGAAACGTCGAATTTTACATGAGCCGAATGCATTTAAAACAAAAGATATCCAGGATTTTTTTCTCATTTTCTTTTGTTTTTAATGCATTTGGTTCATGTAAAATGCGACGTTTGAAAAGAACCTTACCCTTACAACGACAAATAATTTTCTTCTTAAGCCTGGTTCACATATGACTGAGGCATTATTAAGGGCAAGCCTGAGATGCTTTCTGATCTTGTGGCTGAGGCAGACCGAGGCATGTCTGCGATGCTCTTCAATGACATAATTCAAATCGCCGAGAGACCACAAATTACTTGTTGATTTTTGTACTCTAGACACGATTTATCATAAATAGCCCGATAGTTTCGTATTGTATCCATAAGTTTTTATTTTTATCGTAAAGTGATCGGAATTGTTCCATTGAGTCTTTTTTTAGTTCCATGTCCTGTGTTGAAAATTTGCATGATTAAGCGGCAATGATTGATCTCCACGCTAGGAGGTATAAATGTAATTAAAATAAGTTTCTTGACTGGGATTTTTTAATGCACTGTAGCTTCTATACTATACATATGTAGTTATTAATTTATTATGTATTTACGTTTAATTAAGGCTCCTTGAGGATCAACTTTTGCTGAATTATGGAAATTGTAAACGTCGGATAATTTCAAATATTGTCAAGATTGAAAAATGAAACATCAACATGAAATATGTGATAGTCAGTAAACAAACCAGCAAAGTCAAAGTGAAGCACCTTTCATGTTGATGGAAAAATGTTCAAAGGTGAAAGAATGCGACTTTGACCAAAATTTTTCAACGCGCTTGCATCTCACTCATTTTCCTTCCAAATCGCAACAAACAACATAGCATTCCATAGCTAGAACATAGAAATCTTTGTTTAAATATTTAAAACTACAGTCATTTATTCAGTAATTTACCCACATCAGCAAGTAAAAGTGAATTACCTTTTTTTGAAACACCCTGTATCAAGAACTTAGATTCCCAGTCCGTGGAGGTTCCCCTTTGGATAAATCAACTTAAATGTATATTTTGTTAAATACGTGTATAATTTACGGAAAATAAAAAAATAAGAATCAAAGGAAGATATCAGAATTCAGCCCTTTAATAACACCATGACAACTAGTAGCGTATAGCAAGTCTACCAGTGCTATGAAAAAAAATATTTTGTTGTTCAATTACTTTTTCGTTACTCACTACACTACATATGAGATGACAACAGTAAATATGGGCCAGACACACATAATTAGAGTAAAAGCTCCATTTTTCTTGGCTACATCACTACCTGAAACATGCATAAAGATAAATTACATTGTCAGGTGGTCACCAATGCCAGATCTATCAAAACGTATGTCAGCAAAGGATTTTTATTGTGTTTAGTCTTTACAGAAAGGAATGAATTTGTGGCTCCATTTCAAGGAACAAGATGCTTTGTTAGCCCTGGCTTTTGGGTATGTTTTCTTTCTCCTTTAGCTAACCAGCAACAGTTGTATTTTGAATTTCTGTAGGCAAAGGTTTAAATGGAGTGTTTGTTTGATTTTTTTGTTGTTTAATAAGAAAAATCTTAACAAGTACGTTATTTACATGAAAAATTTATAGTGCTTAGTAAGTTTCCTAAAAAGCTGGCTTTGCTGTGTAAATATACAAATTTCTGTTCACTGTGATAAATGGTAAAATACAATTTTTATTTAAAAGAATTGTATGTGGAGAGAAGGTCAATAGTTTGGTTACTTGATTCAACATTTGTTTCTACTTACAGTTGGGGATTTACACCTTAATTGTTGTGACAATGTTCTTTTTTTGCTTACATTTAAATGTAGTAAATCTCATTTTTCATTTATATTTGATTTTCTTGGGCTCAGATATAACCACAACATTTTGTTTCGTGATTTTGTGGTAAAATCATTTATGAAGCTGGGAGAATCAGTTTTAAAGCAATGTAAAGTATAAACTAAAGCAAAAGCAAGACATGAATGTCATAGCAATAAAAATGACTCATTACTGTCCATATCAGTAGTAAAGACACCAGTAGAAATGACTCATTTACTGTTCTTATCAGTTGCAAAGACATGAGCCAAAAATGTCTGGTCATGTCATTCACTCCTGAACATGGATACATACTTTAAAGGAGGGTGTTGCCCTAGAAATATATTCCTAATATAAACTTTTTATAGTTTGTACAGAATTTCTCTAATGTTCAAATACTGTTTTGGAAAAAATAAGAAGTTCCTTGCAAAATGAAATATTAACTGGAATAAATGACCTTGGAATAAATGACATAGCAGACTCTTTATTTTGGTTAGGAGGCACATATTCATATATTCATGTTCTGCCACATTAACTTCCTTTGAAATCCATTGTTTTCAACGGATTCAGACATGCATATATGAATTTGTGCCCCCCCCCCCAATTAACAAGTATCCTGCGCCACTGCTGGGATTTTTTATATATTAGTATATCTGGTAGTCTAAAATCTGGTAGTCGGACAGTTAAATGTGTCATTTTCACTTCTGTCAATGCTATGGCAATGATATCCTGCTTTTTCTTCTTCAGGTTATTCATAACTTTTACTTTACATTGCCTTTATAGTTTGAACTATAATAAAGTATTATTGAATCAATAATTATATAAATATTTCCTCCAAAGTAAAAAAACAAACATTGTCACAACAATTAAGATGTTAGTCCCCAAATCAAGTATGATTAAATCAAATAACAATAACTGAATGTCCATTTCAAACAACTACAATTGTCATAAATAGAAAGTATATTTTGTAAATTGTATGAATGAATAGAAATCAATATAGAAAAGACTGTATTCATACTTATATAGCAAAGCAAATCTTGTGGGCGTTTCAGCATTTCAAAAAGGGATGTTACATGATCATGGTTGCTGTAAGATCAATATTTACTCTCATTAGACAAGAAAATCACCCAACAACATTCATTTTAAGGAACTTCACAACTTCTGAATAGCTAGATATTGCAAACTAAACTCATAAATATACTTTGATAGTTTCATACAAGTTTCTTAATAAAAACTGTTCCAGTAAATAAATGACAGTTGAAAACTTGAAAATACAAATGTTTCAATATTGTCAATAATATATTTATACCTTTTATAAATATACAACTGTTGTTATTTGAACCTTTGTTAAAAGAAATCTACAATACAACTGTTTCTAATCAACTTTAGTATAAAGAAGAAATACCTAAAATGAAAAGAGAAATTGATTTTCTCCTTCATTAAAAATGAGCTACAAATACATTTCCTCTTCTTCTATCTTCTTGTACATTTTCACAAAGACAGGAGTATTTTAGCTTCCAGAAAATAAAAGATAAGTAGATGTCCAAATCCTTCAGTTTCAATATCTATAGTTTGTTTATAACAAAAAGAAGATTGTTGTATATTATTGCAGTACATGTTTAGGTCCAAATGCTTTCGTTTCAATTTCTATCGCTCGTTCATAAAAATCTTTTGATTTTTCGCACTCTCCCATTTGACTGTAAACCAAACCCAGATTGTTGTACGTTGTCGCAATATTAACATGGTCAGGTCCAAATGTTTTCGTTTGAATTTTCATTGCTCGTTCACAAAAAGTTTTTGCTTTTTCGTACTCTCCCATATTACTGAAAACCGAACCCAGATTGTTGTACGTTTTCGCAATATTAACATGGTCAGGTCCAAATGTTTTCGTTTGAATTTTCATTGCTCGTTCACAAAAAGTTTTTGCTTTTTCGTACTCTCCCACTTTATCGTAAACCGAACCCAGATTGCTGTACGTTTTCGCAATATTAACATTGTCAGGTCCAAATGTTTTCGTTTGAATTTTCATTGCTCGTTCACAAAAAGCTTTTGCTTTTTCGTACTCTCCCATATCTTTGTAAACTGAACCCAGATTGTTGTACGTTGTCGCAATATTAACATGGTCAGGTCCAAATGCTTTCGTTTCAATTTCTATCGCTCGTTCATAAAAATCTTTTGCTTTTTCGTACTCTCCCATATCTCTGTAAACCGAACCTAGATTGTTGTACGTTGTCGCAATATTAACATGGTCAGGTCCAAATGTTTTCGTGTAAATTTCTATCGCTCGTTCATAAAAATTTTTGCTTTTCGTACTCTCCCATATCTTTGTAAACTAAACCCAGATTGTTGTACGTTGACGCAATATTAACATGGTCAGGTCCAAATGCTTTCGTTTTAATTTCTATCGCTCGTTCATAAAAATCTTTTGCTTTTTCGTACTCTCCCATATTATTGTAAACCGAACCTAGATTGACGTACGTTGTCGCAATATTAACATGGTCAGGTCCAAATGTTTTCGTGTAAATTTCTATCGCTCGTTCATAAAAATCTTTTGCTTTTTCGTACTCTCCCATATCTTTGTAAACTAACCCAGATCGTTGTACGTTGACGCAATATTAACATGGTCAGGTCCAAATGCTTTCGTTTTAATTTCTTTCGCTCGTTCATAAAAATCTTTTGCTTTTTCGTACTCTCCCATATTACTGTAAACCGAACCTAGATTGAAGTACGTTGACGCAATATTAACATGGTCAGGTCCAAATGCTTTTGTTTTAATTTTCATCGCTTGTTCATAAAAATCTTTTGCTTTTTTGTACTCTCCCATATTTTTGTAAACCCAACCTAGATTGACGTACGTTGACGCAATATTAACATGGTCAGGTCCAAATGCTTTTGTTGTAATTTTCATCGCTTGTTCATAAAAATCTTTTGCTTTTTCGTACTCTCCCATATCTCTGTAAACCAAACCCAGATTGTTGTACATTGTCGCAACATTAACGTGTTCAGGTCCAAATGTTTTTAATTGAATTTCCATAGCTCGTTCATAAAAATCTTTTGCTTTTTCGTACTCTCCCATATTATAGTAAACCGAACCCAGATTGTTGTACCTTATCGCAATATCAACATGGTCAGGTCCAAATGTTTTCGTTTGAATTTCTATCGCTCGTTCATAAAATTCTTTTGCTTTTTCGTACTTTCCCATTTCACTGTAAACAGAGCCCAGATTGTTGTACGTTGTCGTACTATTAACATGGTCAGGTCCAAATGTTTTCGTTTGAATTTCTATCGCTTGTTCATAAAAATCTTTAGCATTTTCATATTCTACATTCTTCCAAAGCAATACACCCAGCTCGTTGTAAGAATATGAAACATCAGTATGATCAACACCTAACACTTTAGTTTGAATTTCTGTTATTTCATAAAGTACCTTAGTTGCAAGTTTATAGTTGCAAAATCTTTCCAAAACATCTACAAAATTTTTGGCAACTTTCCACTTTCTTTCATCAAGTTTTTGTTTTGATGATTTTACATCGATCAACTTATTTAGGAAATGTTGAAATGATGAATTTGTTATGAATTTAATTAGATGTGGAATCATTTTGATTTCATCTTCTCTCTCTTTAAAATGATTTAAGGCCCAAGCAACTTGACAGGGAAGATCAGCTGCAGACTTTTTAGAATTATTTTCGTTTTGTTTACAGCCAAAGGTCTGCGATGAATAATTTATGATGGCTTCGTGTACAACGCTGTGCAGGCGGATGTCGTTGTTTTCCGTTTGAAGGAATAAAGAACAATGCTTTAATTGAAGACAGATATCTTCTGCAGATTTTTGTGGATCAATGCTTTTAATAAATGTTCTTATAACATCTTGTGGTAAGGGATCGAAAGATATTATTGAGAAAAGTTTAAAAACATGTTCTAACAAGATGGATTCTTCAGCATTTTTTTGAACTGCTAACATAACAGTTTTCATTCCTAAGTAAGATGTGTTTTTTTTTTAAATCACCATCCATGTTCTGTCGCTCTCCTTTATTCAGCTTATCAAAATATTGTTCCCAGGTGAATGTCGGATTTACACTTTTAACACTACCTACGTAGGAAGCAGCATTTGCCAGGAACAATGGTTGACGATATGATCCAGGTATGATCACCAACTTGAGGTAATAATGGATAAATTTTATGAAGCTCAACCACGTTATCTACAACAATCCACCATGTTTGCCAAGATTTCAGTTGCTGTGTCAGCAATAATTGAAAATCTTTGATTTTGTCTTCGCTGCTTTTGGCTTCTTTTAAAATATTTTCAAGGACAGTTTTATCATTGCTTAATCGTTGATAAAGTTCAGCATAAGTTTTCAAAAGAGAGTCGAAATCTTTTCCTTCGAGTGTCATCACAAATGTCGTATTCTTTTCCCAGTCAAATGAGTTATACATTTCTTCACAAATTTGTCTGGCTAATTGAGATTTACCACTGCCAGGATTACCAGAAATATAATAATATGTTAGTTCATTATTGTTAGTACTGCGCAAGTTATTGAGATCTGCTGTGATTTGATTAAGTAATTCTTTACGTTTAACCACATCGTGATTTGATTTGCAAGGAAGTACTTGAGAAGAATAAAATATGTTTCGTTCACTTTTTATTTTGATAATTTCAGTGAATCAAAATCCTAGATCTTGAAATGAGTTTTGAATATCACAAACCATTGTATGAAATTTCGAATCAGAAACTTTTCCTTTATTTTCATGGATGAATTTGTTTCTTACATCACGAAGTTTGTCCACAGCAGTTTTAACTTTATTATTAATGTTTGTTCCAATGGAGTGGGTAAACAATATTGCTTTACATAGTGTCGTGCAATCCCACTTACTTGTGTCACCATCTTTAAGTTTTGACAATATTTTTTCATCGCGAAATATTTTTTTTCATCTTTCAATGTTGAACAATTTCTGACCACTGACGTTTGTATTTTCCCATTCTCCAAGAGATTGTTTGTAATGAGTGTTCCATTCTTGGATAAAAAGATCAACAAGTTTCTTTTCAACGTCTGTAAGTACTTTCTGCAGAGAGGAGTTATTAATTTCTTCTCTTGACTGCATCTAAAGGACATAAAATTATTAATTTTATCGTAAATTGGTTCTTTAATTAGAGTTTATATACAACTAAAATTGTTGAAGATCAAAGATAGCTACGTAATGTTACAGTTTTACTTGTACGTGTAAATGAATATCGAGGATGGCAGCTGAAAACAATGCAATTGGACATTTTATTTTTCTTGCATTTAGGCATTTGGCTACATTTTGGTAGGGGCGTCGTTGGGATTTTGGAGTGGGGGGGGGGGCAGAAAATTTGTACCACGTTTGTCGCTGGCGAAGTGGCCTCGCAAATTAAAGTTTTGTGAATTCGTAAGAGCTACATTAATGCTATGTGCTTCTTTTTCAATTTGGAATGATGCAATTTGGAATGATGCATATGAAGCACTTGGGGGCTTAGTCAATTTTTAGAGGGCACGTGCCCCCTTTCCAGGCCTCACTTTAGCAACGTCATTGCATGTTGGAATGAAAATAGAGGTACTGAGTTATATTATAACTTAGGAAGGTGTTCAACAGTTTGCGAACTGACACACAAAGTTCTCTAACTGACTCACGCTTTTGCAGAGTTGGTCCAATGTCTGGACGACAGAAGTTTGTCTTATGTATGTTTTTATGCAGTATGGTAATTGAAATTAAATGAAGATACGATCTTCGCACTTTTCTGGACAATTTAAGCAATTGTCTCAGGACCTGAAAAAATCAGGTGACTCAATCCCGTTGAGTCACCTGATTTTTTCAGGTCCCGAGACGAATGCTTAAATTGTCCAGCAAAGTGCGAAGATCATATCTTCATTTAATTTAAGAAGTTTGTCTCTTGTGGTTCGGGAGTAGAAAGACAATGGACGTAGAGCTTTAAAAATCCTCAGACATCACTATCAAGGCAGAGGAATACCTCGCATCATCGCTCTTTACACGGAACTCACTTCGCTGAAGAAAAATGACGACGAGACTGTCACAGATTATTTATTGCAAGCGGAACGATCAAAAACAGACTTAAGAGAAGCCGAGGAAATAATAAGTGATGCACTACTCATTACAATGGTTTGAAGGGTGTGCCAAGCACGTACGCTGTCTTTGCTACCGTAACAGTTCAGGGAAAGACAAATAACATTTACGGAATTCAAAAACTCGTTATGAAGTCATGAAGAAAATATCAAACCATTGTCACTAAAAGCTGAGGTAGGTGACAACGTTATGTATGTGAAACCAAATTTGACGAAAATTGTTTCAAATGTGCATGGAAGAAATGGACACAAAAGCTCACAATGCCGAGTGAAGGGGAACAAATGGTGCTCCATATGCAAGATCAATACCCACGACACGAAAGATTGCCGAAAGACGAAAGAAACGTCCAAGACAGCTAAAGACGGGCAGCGCTGTGACACTGAACGGCAACACTTCTTTTTATTCGTGTCAAAGGATGAAGAAGAGAACGCTGAAGCGGACGTGAAGGATAAGGATCAAGCAAATTTAACTCGCTGGTGGTGGACACAAAAGCTACAAGTCACATTATTAACAATAAGTCAAAATTTATAAATTTTGATAGTAAATTTGATAGTAGAGCGCATGTTATTGAATTAGCAGATGGCAGTAAAGCCAACACAGTAGTCAGTAAAGGTACTGCTAAAGTCAAATTAGTTGACTTGCATGGAAATGCGCAAAATATCTTATTAAGTAATGCCTTATATGTTCCATCTTACGATCAAAGTATATTCTCAGTAAATGCTGCAGTAGAAAAGGGGGCAAAAGTCAAATTAGATAAACACGATAAGCATGTACAGTGCCCTGATGGCACAAAGGTTGAAATAAGACAAAAAGGCAAACTTTACTGTATAAATAGCATATCATCTTCGAATAAAAATGCATGTTCTCTTTACGAGTGGCACAAGGTTCTAGGTCACTGCAACTACAAGGATGTTAGGAAACTAGAGAAGGTGGTTAAGGGGATGAAAATCACAGACTTGAGGAAAGTTGAATGCGAGGTTTGTACACAAGGTAAAATATGTCAGACGAAAAGTAAGGTGGAAGATAAAAAGGCGAGGGGTCCTCTTGAGTTTATTTCCACGGATCTTGCAGGTCCTATTGATCCGGAAGGAAGAGAAGGGTTTAGATATGCATTGTCGTTTGTGAATTAGTATTCAGGATTGAATATGGTCTATTTCTTAAGCATAAAAGCGATACACCACAAGCATTAAAACAGTTTTTAGCAGATGTTGCACCTTACGGAAATGTGAAGCACATAAGAAGTGATAACGGCACTGAATTTACAAGCGAAAAATTCAAATCGATTCTTAGAGAAAACAAAATTAGGCATGAAACTAGTGAACCATATTCGCCACACCAGAACGGTACAGTCGAGAGATCGAGTTAACTTTATTCAACATGGCTAGGTGTCTATTGCTAGAAGCAAAACTACCACAATCCATGTGGACATATGCCATCATGGCATCTGCTTATATTAGGAATCGTTGTTTTAATTCAAGATTGAACAAAACTCTGTTTGAAGCGTTTACAGGCTCAAAACCAGACTTGAGCAAAATGCACATTTTTGGTTGTGTTTGTTATGGTTATTCACAAAATTCCAAAAAGTTAGACCCTACAAATAAAGAAGGTATTTTCTTAGGGTATGATAAAAATAGTCCAGCATATCTACTATACTACCCTGACATTAACAAGGTAGAGCGTGTAATATGCGTTAAGTTCTTCAGGGAAGGTAGCAGGGAACTGCCAGAACTAGATGATGAAGAACTTGCACCTCAGATAGCAAAATTGCATGAGAGAAACCCCAAAACAACTAACGAAGACATTAGTGCCCCAGAGAAATCTAGAGAACCAAGGTATCCCACTATGATAAGAAGTAAGAGTAAATATTTTGACGAGTATGTGACAGAAGAAGTTTCAGGGGAGGCTACTGTCTCATATACCGTAGATTATTGCTATAGAGTATCCAACATCCTAACGATATATTCCCAAGCAATAAGCTCCAATGAGAAAGTAAAATGGCAAAAAGCCATAAATGATGAAATGAAAGCGTTAATTGACAATGATACGTTTGAACTTGTTCCACCGCTAACAAACAGAGACATAGTGGGAGGGAAATGGGTATACACCGTAAAAGCAGGGCAACATGAAGAAGAGACCAATAAAGCCCGTTATGTAGCCAAAGGGATACTCACAGACTTCTGGTATTGACTACAAAGAAACCTTTTCGCCAACTGCATGCATGAGTTCTATCCGTGTATTGCTTCAACACGCTGTTCAAAACAACATGTTATTGCATCAGATGGATGTAAAAACAGCTTATCTTAACGTCCCAAAAGACTGCGAAATTTATATGCATCAACCCGAAGGATATGAGGAAGTAGATAAAAATAGTGAAAAATTAGTGTACAGGTTGAAAAAGTTTTTCTATGGATTAAAACAAAGTGGTAGGAATTAGAATAACGTATTGCATGAACACTTAATCGGGAAAACTTTCAAACAATCATTAGTCGACCCATGCGTTTACACGCGATTTGAAGGAAAAGATGTTACTATTCTTATAGTATGGGTAGATGATATTATCATTGTTGCTTACATTGACACATTAATGCAGAGTGTCAAGAAAATCTTAAGCGACCATTTTAAGATGAAAGATTTAGGAATATTTTCCTGGTTTTTAGGGACTGAATTCAAATGCACAGAAAAAGAAATAACAATGAGTCAAAGGCAATATAATATTAAGTTACTAACAAAATTTGGCATGTCGGAGTGTAAACCCAAACCTACTCCATCATCTTCCGATACCAATAAAATGTCGCATGATCAATCGCCTCAGTTAGAAGATTCGAGTCTTTACAGACAAATTGTCGGTAGTCTTATATATGTTATGACAGGAACTAGACCTGATCTGTGCTTTATTGTAACAAAGCTGTCTCAAAAGATGGCAAAACCGACACAAGCAAACCTAATCGAGGCACAGCGTGTTCTTAGATACTTAAAAGATACAATAAGTCAGATAATTACATTTAGAAAACGTGAAAGTGTTTTAAATTGGTCAGTTTTTCTAATTCTGATTGGGATGGCGATGCGGATGACAGGCGTAGTATTTTAGGTTACGGTTTCAAGTTTAGTGAGAACGGTGGTTTGGTTTCTTGGAGGAGTAAGAAGCAATCTACAGTTTCTTTGTCAACTTGTGAAGCTGAGTATATGGCATTGACTGAAGCTATTTAGGAAGCAAAATTTTTGAAACAGTTGTGTGTTGATTTGCGTATTTGTAAGGAAGGCGAGTGTGTTTTGTCGAATGTTGGCAATCAGAGTGCAATTAACTTAGCAAACAACCCTATGTACCTCAAAAGGTCTAAACACATAGATATTAGATATAACTTTATCAGAAGTGAAATAAGGGCTGGTAAAATAGAAATTATGTATGTAGCAACACATGAAAATGTGGCTGATATCATTACGAAAGCTGTAAGTAAAATTAAACAAAGTGGATTCAAAACATTTATAACTGGTAAATAAATATTAATTTGTTAATTTAGTTTATGAGCAAGGGGGGTGTTGAGTCATGCTCATAAACCACAGAAACATGTTAAACTTATTGCATATAATAATATGCAAAACTGAAATTCTCTGGCGTATCGTAATTTCGTTTCATCTTGTTGATTTTTTAACCCCGCCATACCAATGGTATTTGAAAATACTAGTAAAATTAATTGTTAGTGATAATGCAAGAAAGGTCAGTATTTTGAAATGATAAATTATCCAATGTGTTATTGGGAAAATCCAACTAAAATCAACAGATGTATCAATATAAAACATATGAAGGGCGAATTTCACCACGAAAATGACATTCGGGTTTTTTATAACAAATATAACAAAATTCTAGACATAAGAACAAACAATGAAACTATGACAAGTAAACTTTAAAATCAACATACCTTCACAAATTCAGAAAGATTAAAAACGACGCAACCAACTACATGATGTGTTTACTTTTGCTTCATAATAAAGAAATTGGAATGTTATATAAATGCTTGATTTTAATCTCCTGCTGTTTTTATTGTAAAATATTGAATTCTGTTCATACCCAAAAGAATATGAAATGCAAATTTTTTATTTTAGCAATGACTGAAGTAAAAACAAAGAAGTTTTGACTTGGAAGATTTATGCCAATAAACTTTTCACAATTTACTTTGATATATTTCAATTATTGAACATCCTGACTTACAGGCAAACTAACTGAAGTAAACATAAAGGAAGACGGGTAAGATAGCTTAAAAATGAAAGATTTATAATTGAGGAAGTTTGGAAAATGGATAAACTTAGCTTCTCTGAAATTGACAGCGTTCCAACTTTGAAACGTGGTAAATGAAGTTTTTTCATTTTGTAAACTTTTGATCCAGATATACAAATAATTTCATCAGGGCGTGAGAAGCAAGTAAAGTTGGAGAGCTCAAGATTTTAGGGGCAATCCTTGTTTAAAATGGGAATTTCAGAGTAATTAATCTCGAAGTCTCTAAATTTGAATAATTTTTCACATCTCAGTACTCAGAGATACTTCAAAATTGATAACGTTTGGAGTTAACAGTTCATCATACAAAGTTTTGTCATTTTGTGAACTTTTGTGGCAAACAAATATTTTAAATAGCCTATCTTACAACAAGTTGAACAATTAAAGACCACAAAAATATCACGTGTACTATCACGTGAAGAACTGAGCTTTTCACTCCAAGTAGGCGCAATTTCTAAAGACATACCTAGCAAAACGTTTTTATGTCATCATCTGTCTTAGGAATAAGATAAATACATAGATGACTTTATGAATTAGGAAAAAAATTCTTCTTGATAAAAGCCATGTTAGATAAAATTGAAATTATTGCACATAATGATATGCATAACTGAAACTCTGTGACGTGTCATGATTTTGATTCATCTTGTTGATTTTTTAGCCTTGCCGTACTAATGATATTTGAAAAGAATAGTGAAAGTAATTGTTGGTGACAATGCAAGAAAGGTCAGTATTTTAAATGATAAATTATCCAATGTGTTGTTGGGAAAATCTCACCAAAATCAACAGATGTATCAATATAAAACATATGAAGTGCGAATTCCTCCACAAAAATGGCATTCAGGTTTTTTATGACAAATACAACAAAATTCTAGACATAAAAACAAACAATGATACTTTAATATGTAAACTTTATATTCAACATACCTTAACAAATTTAGAAAGATTAAAGAAGACGCAACCATGTACATGATGTCTTTGCTTATTCTTCATAATAAAGAAATTGGAATGTTCAATGAATGCTTTATTTTAATCACCTGCTGTTTTTATTGTAAAATATTGAATTCTGTTCATAACAGCGAGACGATAAAATGAGTTGAGCAAATTTTATATTTTAGCTATAATTGAAATATACACGACAGGGTTTGATTTAGAAATTTTATTACAAATCCAATTTCAGTTCAACTCAATCAACTCATAAATGCTGTGCACATTTAATTATTATTAATTTTCAATATTGACATGGGTGTACGGGACCAAAAACATCAGGATGCGGACATTATTTTGCTCGACAAAAGCGGAAATCCTTTACATGCAGTGTCGTAGTTAGACATAAAGAAAGACATAAATTTCTGGGGAGCATATTTTATAACGCCAAACGCGTGAGTCTTTCTAGCGAGATCTATAAAGTCTTGCTCACCCTTGGAAAATTTCTAAATCTCCAGATCGTCAATAACGCTTACCAGTGTTTCTGGAGTGTGTTTTTCCATAATTCTTAAAGTTATTTGCTACAGGAAAAACATTATTTTCATTGTTTACTTAAACATAGCTACTGCCAAAATCCTTGGATTTAATTTTAAAATTTCTTTGTCAGAAAATTTCACCTAGTTTAGTAAGGACAACTTTCAAAGTAATTACAGCATTACTGAGGTAAATTTAGTGTCTTAAATAGCAGTGCTTCTATCAAAATTGTGAGGATGTCGTGATATTGTCATGATAAATTTATTCTCCTTGGTGACATGTCAATAAATAAAATGTTCAACTGGGTTTTAACCAAAAGCATAATTTTATCACTTATAATGTCGGATTTTTCCTTACAATAACTACGAAAAGTGGGCCGTTCAGATTGTGGGACTGCATGCTTTAGCTTGGTAAGCTCCCCGACATTTAATTGTGTTAGTTTGAAGACAGTGTTAACTTAGAGATTAGAGGAAGGCTTTTATCCCATCTAATCTCAAAAACGTGATTACGATGACTTGATATAAGGGTTTGCTTATAAAATCTTTGATTGGCTAATCTATAATCTAAAACAAATATGGCGGATTCAACTCTCGTCTTTCGTCTTTCAAAAATTTTAAGCGTTACAGCTGAAAAGGTCATTGAAGTGTTGACGTTCACATAGGCGTAGAAAGTGAGGGGGAAATGGGTGTAATTCAGGACTAAAAAAGACACTTGAATTTCATTTCACACCAAGTGGCAACAAGTCTGTTTAACTACACGTGACAGCCTGCATGAATCATGTAAACAATGGGTCAACTTATCATTGAATACACCGTCCACCCCCCTAACTTCTTAAAATTTGTGTCTGCAGAAATGGACATGCGTTTACATTAATATGGTTTCATTTAGATTTATTTTGAGAAGATAATATAGAGTGGTTTTTGTAAAAATAAGATAAATTTTAAATCTTACTGCGTATTTTAAAGAAGTATAAGAAAATGCTGAAACTTATAACAGTGAATGTAAAGGTATTTTCCTTGATTACACCGGAAATTGATTTGCTAAATATTAATGCTTACTTCTGGGATACATGTTAGTGGATAGAACAGACTCTGACGTCAGACCTTGTCGACCTCGTGGTCGTTAAAGTTAGTTATTGTGGTTTAATGTCGTCTTCACTGAAATGAGTTCTGACAATTTTTGTTCCGGTAAGTGTGAATTTTAGCTGTTTCTATCATGTTAAAGGGAATTAGCAAAGCCAAAACAATCAATACATCGCAATAGCTTATTTTATTTTCAGGATAACTTAAAAACAACGCTTCTTCGTTGGAAATTTCCACAGAATATTTTGCCAATGGGATTTTAAAGTATTTGCATTTCAAACGCTTTTATTTTAATGTGTAATGACCGACTTGCGTATCGTTAAACGGAGGAATATTTTGCAATAAAAGTTTTCGCTTATTGACTTCTTTCATCTCCACAACACTAGAAAATTAGCTTCAGTTAAATGGTTGGGATTAAAATGTCGAGCGTCAGGTATCTAAGAACGTGCTTCATGAATTTCCGAGTTTGAAGTAAACCATATTGCCGTTTATTCATGAATAAAAAAACAAAACAGAAAATTTGTTTTTTTACCATTCAATTCTCTATATTTGCCAGACATTTGCTGGTTTCAAAACAAAAATAGTGGACACTAGGCAATTATTCTTCCTCTGTCACAACTCTTTCGTATGTTAGTCTATAGGAATATTTTATACAGATCGAGTTGTGAGATGTCTTCGGATTCCTTTGGTGATGAATCTGAACGTTCGCCAGCTCCGAACTTTCCTGAATATGAGAAATGTATGAGCGAGGTATAAACCATAAAATATTTGAAATATTGAAGTTCTGGTGAGCTTTTTCCAATGAGATTAAAATATCTCTTTTTTTATTTAGAAATTAGACGGTATTTTGCCATCGCATGTCGTCAACATTGAAACAAATATGGATATACGTTGTTTGTGTTATTCTTCATCCTTGAAAAGTTTCTTGTACAGTTACAGGAGCGATGCACTAGGACTTATAAGTGAAGATTTTAAATCTGATGTGAAGAAATTCATGGATATAAAATTTGAAAAGAACTCGAAAAATTATTTGTTGGCCTTTGACCCTGAAACAAAATGGGCCGTCTCTTGGGACGGTTCGTTAATCGCTGCAAGTGCAGGACTCGATGTGTATCATCGTCACAAATATGATATTATCAATTTTGCTTTGATTGTTTTTGCCATCCCAGATAATGAGGTCGGCAAGTTACCTAAACCGGTATATTGCATAAACTGTTTTCATTCTCGCATTTCTCAAATTAAGTTCTTTCCAGATGGAAAGAGAATTGCCGTCACTATTCTTTTGAATCCTGATTTTCCCCATGACTTGGATCGTTTTTGGTGTCGTGTGTATAAACTACCAGACGGTTTGTGGAACTTAGAAGAATCTATAAAAGGCGGACCCGACCAATGGATTGATCTTAAAGTTGAATTTAATGGAGTTGATTACATTCAATTAGGTTGCCCTATTCTTGATGCGGGACTTGAGGCAAATGAGCGTGACGAGCAAGTGTTAAAAAAAAGACGTGAAAGTGGGAATGAAAGTGGTGTTGAAGATTATTTAGATTTGAGGATGGAGTATCTTGCTGATGGCTTTAGTTGTTTGGCTCTGTCGCCTGATGTCAGCCGTCTTTTGGCAGGAAGCACTGATGGCGAACTGTTCTATTTTGATGCTGACAGTTTAAAACTACTACAACGCGTTCGTGTTTACGATTATTATTCAGAAGTTGAAAAATGCTGCTACAATCCTGCATTTGGCCGTGGGGAATTTGCCATATGTGATTGTTACGGGCTGTTTTGTGTGTGGCGCGTTTTAAATCTTTCTGACAATTCTGAAAATTTCAAATTAGCCCATCGAAAAGGGTTGACAGTTCACCCAAAACGTCACAATTACTTTGATTTTTTTATTGATATCAGTTATTCTCCTGACGGAAAACTTATTGCTGTTACCATAGCTTGTCGACTTGATTACATTGTTAAGACGTTCATTATTGGCTCGCGTTCTGGTGAAATTTGTTATACGTTGGATTGTGTTGATGAACCTGATCGACAGTGTATGAAATCTGAGTGTCTGACCTCGTTTTTTGGTAATTTGTGTCAAGTTGCTTCAGTTACAAGTGTTCATCCCAGCGTTTTTTTCTGGAAGTTGCCCGTTGTCTACAATTTAAAAACATTGTGTTTACTTGCAGTCAAAGCGTTTGTGTCTTATAATAACGTTGAAAAACTCAACATACCTTTTTGTTTAAAACAAGAGTTGAAGTATATTTATTCTTAATTCACTTCAGAAAGTTAATAAATAATTACCTTCCGTTTTGCGTTCAATCACAGCAGTTATGTGAAATCTAACATAAGACGAGAAATTTTACCCAGGTAATGTGGGATATTTCACATTCATTTGGTTACAGGTCACATTTTTATTGATTCAAAAGGTTGTTGAAAAAATAACATTTGCATTTTGTTGTATATTTTGCAAATTTTTTTTGTCATTCGATGTACATAGCGCTCCTTCTTTGTCATTCGTTGTACATAGCGTTCCTTCTTTGTCATTCGATGTACATAGCGTTCCTTCTTTGTCATTCGATGGACATAGCGCATCTTCTTTGTCATTCGATGTACATAGCGTTCCTTCTTAAGTCTTTACTGTCCTAAATGAGTATTAAGATCTTTGGCTATTATATGTTCAATAAGTTTAATTTATTTTAGAATGTTGGAGGAGATATTAGACACGCGTATTATGGTAAAGAAAGCTATGAAAGATTGTAAAGATGATAAAGTAAGTTGGTTTTATTAAACCTTTGTTTTCGAAGCGATTTTTGATGTTTTTATAAGATCCAGTAGCTAAAACGTCATGGAGTTTTCCTCATGTTCAAAAATGATGCCTTTCCACTCTTCGTTTGTTTTCTTTAATCATTCAATATCATAAATAATTTACATTTTAGACTCTTCTTCAACTTCTTGATGCTCGACAACTTGCTTTAAAGTTGATTGCAAATGTCACTTATGGTTACACATCCGCAAACTTCTCAGGGCGAATGCCTTGTGTTGAGGTAACTTTGATCTTGTCATGATAGAAATTTAAACAAACGATAGCTCTCCCCATTCCATCTAAACAGACCTTGCGCCGTAAACTTTGTATTCATGATAGAAATTTAAATAAACGATAGCTCTCCTCATTCCATCTAAACAGACCTTGCGCCGTAAACTTTATATTCATGTTAGAAATTTAAACAAACGATAGCTCTCCCCATTCCATCTAAACTGACCGTGCGCTGCAAACTTTCTATTAATTGTTGTATCTATATTATGTATATTGTATATTTACCAATACACATATATATTTTAGATACAATAAATATATAATATATTTACTACAGCTAATTGGTAAATATACAATATATATACATGTTGATTATTATGATTGTCGTGAGCCTAGACTTAGTCACATACTCAGATTGAAAATCTATCAAGTGCTTGTTGTGATAC